TTCCATTTACTGTCATAATTATACATTCTTATTTTATCTGTTCATTAATATTGCAACTTAAATCATTAACATTTGGAAATACCTTATCACAAATATTTTCATAAATTCACTAGTAGAAGTTTATAAAGAACGAGCACCAAGGGTACTGAAGAAACATTACGCTTTTAGATACATTGGGTCTTGTAATATTAAGAACATTATTTCAAATTTACAACTATTATAACATGCTCAATGACAAAGTGAGATAGAGATAAATAAACTCAAGCTAGGTCATTTCCTGCCTAATAATTATTCAAAAGATATTATTATTATTATTATTGTTATTATTATTATTATTAATATTATTATTATTATTATTATTATTATTATTATTTATTTATTATTTACTTATTATTATTTATTATTATTATTATTATTATTATTATTATTATTATTATTATTATTATTACTACTACTACTACTACATATACAAAAAGAATTCTTTTTGTGGTGTTATTAACATAAATGTATCAGTGCTCGAAATGTAAGGCTTTCTGCTTTTAAAATTCATAAAGAAGAGATGGCATTAAGCGTTTTATTAATTAATGCAATGCGACTGATTAATATTTCCCATAATTTTGTTCAATGTCATCTATAAAATGGATTACATAAAATATGTTACGTTTAAATAAAGATGCTATGCTAATTAGATGTGTTTTTAATGCAGTGCATTCTGGGTAAGGTGTTCCCATATCCCAAAAAACTCGACCACTCTGCCTCAGTGCAAGAACAAGTGTGTGATATATTTTGCTCATGGAAAGAAATATCAGCCAGTCAGAAAGGGCAGTCTTTTGTTATTACACTGAAGACAAATAATTTAAAAAAAAAAAAATCCATCACTAAGTTTGCAACCGCTCCGGAGATGCTTTCTCAAGTTATTCACATTGAGGGTTTGAAGCTTATCCTTTAAGTCATTCGCTAATTATCACATGAATACCAGCATTTAAATGTGGCCTCTTTCTTCAGTGAACTTAATAAACTGGCACCTACACAGCTCAAAATCAATCCAAATATTCCTGTAAGAAACATCAGAATTTAATGTGGTGTTATTTTCATTCCAACGGCTTCAGTACCATTCTTCAGGTGACCCCAGGTCATCGTGACCGCTGGCACCCCTCACCTGGATTTTTTTTTTTTACATAATTTTCCTAAAGGTAAAACATATAAATGAATAATACAATAAGCGCATATTAAAATGTGATGCTATTTGGGTCCTTTCGAGAAATTTCGAGTGAGAGGTGGGAGGTAGACCAGCTGCTGAGTGACGCAGACTAAGAGATATAATGAATTTGATGTGTGAACACTGGTCAAAATTTTTCAATGTAATCAGGCGTCCTCGAAGGTCAGTTGGTGTATATCGGCCTCAGTCAGTAATTTAGAAATTGCTGGCACGTTCCTGCTTTAGAATTTGGATAAATAATGTGGGAAAACCCTTACATGTCGGCAACAAGAATGGAAAAATAGAGGACACCAATTCTTCCTAGGAGCACACCTTCGCTAAGTGACGCTTACTTATTATGTAGAGTACATTTGCGTTGGTCATCGTAAATTCTAGCTGTGGTGGTAGCGTTATGGTGTGTTTCCAGAAACTAATAATTATGTGCCAATAATTAAGTGGTGAGTGCTCATTATATAATATACATATATATTTTTTGTAAATGTTATACACTCAACAGATCCCCCCCCCTTTCTTTTCAAGTCACAAACCATCATACAGTCCACTCAATATCTTGTAATTTACAAACATTATTGGTATTATTTATATTGTAATATTTAACGGGTCCGACATGTTTGTGAGTGGGAAAGAGTTTGTGTGGGTCTCGGAGGAGAGGCTGGTGTAGCCTAGCGTCTCTAAAATCCCACCTGGCTCTGAGGTACAACTAACATTAGTAAATACAATAAATTGTTGCTTAGTTGTGCCCCCCTCAAATTATGTGGATGAAATATTTTAGGAATGAACCTGTGAACCTCGTCCCCTTAATTTCCCACACCTCACCAGAAAGGGTAAGGAACTACGTTGTTTTAACCGACTCTCCCACCTTGGGAGAGTCAGTTAAAACCTTGACACTCTAGTATCATGTCTTTTGACATATATCTAAGTCATCAGTGACTTGATGTAGAGCTATGAAACTTTGGCCCTATCAGGTCTAGGACCTTGAATTTATGAATGTCATAGCGACTGACATTCTCACATATCAAGAGCCTAGGGTGGCCCAGACATTTAAAAAGCCAGACGCGGGTGGCAGTCTTCATCAAACTAGACACCAGCGAGGCGCGTACCCACGATACTGAAAGTTTTTCAATGCCTAGTTAAGGTCAGCTGTGAGGGAGTACTGGAGGCTCATCTAAGTGATTTGTGAATCTTTCGACTTACGTCGGATTCACAGCAGAGTGTAGCAAAGTTGACCCTGTGACCTTACCTGCTCGTGTTGTAAGTGAGTATTATCCACAAGGATTTCGATGACATTCAGATATGATGACCATTCATAGGCAAGACAGGAGTGAATAGATGGTTTGCCTTGGTGTCTGTAGTACCGCTAACTGTTGGTCTACCCTACAACTTTGTCCAGTATAAACTATAATCCATGAATTTGTTCAAGGTACGTAGGGACCTAGCACAAGCAGCATGATGCTAGGTCAGATTATTGGGATTCCATCCCAGAACTAGTCATCATATGTCACCGCGTACAGCAAGAGGCCACAAGGCCCACGATCACTCCACTTGAGGCTAAGCGTGCAGCATATTTTAGGCTTGGATAATGGACCAGGAGCTAAGTGTCATCAGAGACATCAGATTGGTAAGTAACCAGTATGCTCTCTGTCGAAGGAAAGAGTCCACAGTATCCTAGGGGTCTAGTTGGACTCGACTGACGAGTGATTGATTAGTGTCAAGGGTAGAACCCCCTAATTATGGACAACATTTAAGATCTGAAGCTGATCAAAAAAAAGGCCTCCTCCGGTTATTACACCGATAACATTTTTTAATAAAAGCTGACGTATTTAAACTTAAACATACATGTATATGAAATAAATGCGAGGCTTTTTTTGATAAAAACACTCGTGCTTCAAGTTTGAACCCCTCAAGGAAGGTTCTTTGATGTTGGTGAGGGGCTCTTGATTTAGGGAATTTTATCTGTGCTCCAGTTCCCCGAATTAAGCCTGAATGCCTTCCACATCCCCCCCCCCCAGGCGCTGTATAATCCTCCGGGTTTAGCGCTTCCCCCTTGATTATAATAATAATAATAATTCAAGTTTGAAGCCGACAAGAAGATTCAATCTCCACTTACAGCACGAATCCAAAAACTCCAAGTTTATTGTATGTGTCAATAAAGTGAACAATTTGCATCCTTTTCATATTATGTATCTGGTATTAAAGATTGAAGAAATTCAGAAGAGACATACTTAAGTTATTTCAGCCAAGAAAGACATACTATTTTCAAAATAAATTCGCAAATTGGCACCTACACACTCCAATAGCAATCTCAGTCTTATTAGTTGGATACTCAAGTGTTGAAGGTTAGGAGAAGATCAGATGAGACTTTTTCAAGTTACTGCACAGAAACCACTCTCGTTAGTTGTCTATGTAAAAACGATCAGAGAGCAACTGTACAAGCCAAAAGTTTCACGATTCTTTCCTTAGTTACAATACACAAGCATTGAAAATTTAATACTGATTGGATAAACCATTCTTAAGTTATAAACAAAATCTTTGGAGGAAGGAAATCGAATTCTGTCAGCCGCTGAGAAGTACCCCTCCGGGGATATCCGGATATCATTGTGACCCACACGTTTTCCAGCAAGGGCATCCGAGCAATACACTTGGCTGATACACATGACCAGAATGCAAGGAACCCTCAAGAAAGTAATTTTTTCAAGGATAAATGGGAGACGTAGGTCAATATATAAGGCTGAGATGACTTGGATCATTGTCACACAGTCATGAAGCTCTGGGTGAGTAGCTTTCCTTCTGAAGAAGTGCAGTTACCCTCTCCATTATATTTATAAAGCAATCTCTCGCATATATCTTACAAAGTACGCGAGTTGAATGAGTAACTCCTGTGTGGCCAGAATATTGTGAGCTGTGAGGTTAGAAGAGTGATAGTAAAGATGTGGCAGCCGCTGCTGCTGCTGACACAGATGAATAATTGAATGGCTCATTTAAACATATTCACACTACGTGCATTCTCACTCACACTTTTTCTAAGAACAACACACATGTATTAGTATGTTAATACTACCACAATGTAGGTTGATATTTTGCAACGGTGAAGGGAAATTTTGCCATTGCATTTATACATTTGCTCTTTCAGAAGGACAGAGAAAGTAACTCATCAAACATTTGCTGATATGTCGTTTTAAAAGAATAACTGAAAATGTATACACTAATTTTCATTCTGTAATCTTTAGGAAATTAAAAGATGGAAGAATGACTCAAAACCGCCATTCTGGGGCATTTAGTACAGCACCAAAACCTCTGCATCACTGCCTCGTAGCGACTTCCATAACCTAACCTAATCAGCACATTGTAATAACATCCATAACCTAAGTATACTAACCAACCCTTCAATCAAATCTAATTACCTCTTATTCCCATGGCTAATGACAGTTCCGAGTTTAACACTTCTCCTTGAATATGCTAATAAATGCTACTAGTGTCTTTGTTATGAGTCATGTTTATTTTTAAATATATATTCCGTGAGGGTTTACTTTACTTCTTAGTTTAAGAAATGAATCATTCTTGATTGCTAGTGTCCTGGACAAATGCAGCCTTAATTATCCTTGTATGATATCTGAATGTACTGCAAGTGCACTCAGATATCAAACATATCTACAACAAACATTTCGAAAAGGTACTTGGTGCTACATTGAGACACTTTTCGTCATTCCTCATTGCATAAATTGATAATTATCTAAATCCCTTTCAAATGAAAGTTACAATATCGGTAATTTTTTTCTAATTATTACAGATTCTGATCAGTCTGCTAGCAGTCGCTGTTAACGCCGCCCCTCAGGGCTACAACCAAAATGCGCCCTCTGGTCCACCATTGTCTGCTGGTCCATTAAGCTCAGGAATCTCTGGTGGCTCAGGGTTTGGTGGAAGTAGTTGTGGTGAAGGACAAATTCGTCATGTGGACGGCACCTGTGTAACTCCCCAGGTCAGCCGCAACTTGTACGTGTTCAATGTCCCTCCAGCGCCTCCAATCGTTGGGCCACCACCAAACGTTCCCCCGCCAACAGTTGAAAACAACATTTTATTCATTCGCATCCCTGAGGGAGGCCCAGGCCAGGAGCCAATAGTTATACCACCACCACAACAGAAAAACGTCGTGTACGTCCTCAACAAGCGACCCCAACAAGACCAGAAGGTCATCCAAATACCAGCACCAGAGCAAGAGAATCCTCAAGTGTATTTCATAAACTATGGCGAAGGTGACAACCCAACTCTACCTTCTGGTGGAGACCTGCAGTCTGCCCTCGGGTCCGCCGTCGATGGTGGCGGTGAAGTGATTGGTGGCGGCAGTCTGTCGGCTGGTGGTGGTGGCTATGTGAGCGGTGGTGGTGACTTTGGTGGAGACGCTACAGGTGGTGACGCTGCTGGTGGTGAAGCTTCCTATGTAAATGATGGTGGCAGCGCTGACAGCGGAGATGGATTTCCATTGGATATTGTTCCTTCCGTACCCCAGCCGTCTGTGTCGTATTCACAGCCATAAGGTTGGTTGATTAATGAGGTTAAAAGCCTGTCGACTACACCGAGGTCATTAAGGCTGCATGTAACCATGACACCAACAGACAAGCCCAATTTAATCCTTAAATGGGGACTAAAGAATAGTATAGTATAGCATACAAACTGTCTCATTCATAGTTTTCTAATTAATGTAACATTGATAATGATTTTAAGAAATTGACAACAATGCATAACAAAATTATCATGCACCTCAATGCATGAAATACGACAGTCCGTGAACAGTTATTTATCTTATTTATGAAATAAAAGCAGGCATTATTATAATGACTATGTATTTTAAGTTTAGATTTCCCATATCGTTTTATTTTTATGTTATAATGCCTTCATTAGATAGGTGCATTTTTTGGACAACTATATGTCAAATACTCTTACATAAAAAAAATATTATTCTACAATTCTAAACATCGTTGACCTTAGAATATGACGTGAAATTCCTGTCTCCATAGTAAAGAATGTACATTAAATGTCAGGGAAAATAGAAAAGAAGGTTAAACTATTCACCTCATCAAAAATTTTTCTCATGAATATTTCCTGAATCAACCCTCTGAAGAAAGGCGTTTAAGGAGGGAGCATATCATAAGTTGAACAAGACGACCTGAGTCTTGGAGGCGGGAATTGTAGAGCCTATCTAGCTTTCGATATATAATATATATATATATTATATATATATATATATATATATATAAATATATATATATATATATATATATATAATAATATAATATATATATATACACATATATAATATATATATATATATATATATATATATATATATATATATAAATATATATATATATATAATTTATATATATATATATAAATAATATATATATATATATATATGAGGCAAAATACATTGGCCAAACATTCACAAAAATACAATAGAAAGTAAAACAACATAGGTAACTCAGAGCTACATCTCGAATACTTCGTCCAGCTCCCCTGTGGTGGGCCGCGTGCCCAGAATGCTGCAGGCATTTCCTCTCTGGATCGCAACACTGAGTCTCTGAAAGAGGAAGCTGGTCGCCCTGTGGTCCTTGGTTTCTATGATGAGCTTTTCACCTAGCTCTTTGAGGAACTTTAGAGCACACTTGCCCCATGCTCCAAGGGTCTCCGACCTTATTGGAATGAAATTATAGCAAGGGGGAAGGTCTTCATATTTTCGGATCTTCTGGGTCTCCCTGTGGCTGGCACCTCCACCCCCTTCCACTACAAAGTATGGCAAGTAGGTGTCTGCCAATGTGGCAGCACAGGTGTAGTCCCAGGCAATCTGCTTTCCATCCTTCCAGAGTAGCATAGTGGCTCCATCAGGATGCTTTTGACTTCCATCAGACCTCTGTACTTGGGGCTCCCGTTGAGCTGGGCAACGGGCTGTGGCGAGGCTTCTCTTTATTATATCAATGACCTCCTCATGTCTAGCATACTTCCCTTCTGCTGTGTGACACACGAGACCATGAAGTCCGAATTGATCAGCTGTCGCCTTGCCGCAAATACACCTATGTTCGGTGAGGATGGGGGCGGCTAGGCGAAGAGCAACACCAATCCGAATGACCTGTGGGTCGAGACGGGTGCCCAGGGAGGAACTGGGAACAGCTAACAGGAAATCTCCTGAGTGTTGTGCCTTCACTGCCAGGAGACGAGCTTTGTTCTTTCCTGAAGCATTGGAGAGCATTGTGTTGGCGATTTTTTCCATGATCGGTTTGTCTCAGTGGGACTGTTTGTGCTGTTTGGGAGGAGCTGGTCTACTGGAGGAGTCTGTAAGGGTGTCCCACCGAATCGCTGCTTCAGTAAACCTGGGGTCTTGAGCTCCTACCACATCTCTCAAGCGTTCGGGCACTATCTTCTTGACTAATGCACTGGAAGCCAAACACGAAGACAGAAAAACAGGTAAAGCAACATGCGTTGCTTTACGCACCCCTATACCTCCCAGTCGCACTGGAGGGTTTGCCTGATCCCATTGCTCATCCTCTAGTGACAGGTTCAGTGCCTTCTTAAAAGTTGATCTCAGGTGTGCGTCATATTCATCGAGTGTTGGTGTTGTCAAAAGAGGTGTGCCACCTCAAGAAGTGAGTCTTGGCATAGTAAGACACCTTGTGAGGAGATACAGAGCATCATGGGCATCAAGATCGCTATTCTCTCCTCCTATTCTCATCAGGTCATTCAATTTGTCCCTGAGGATAGTATCGATGGCCTGATGACCCAGCGGTGCCCCCAGAGAGTACTGTGGAGGGAGTTGTAGTTGAACTTTGGGAGGATTCTTCGCACAGCATTGATTATTTCCTGGTTTGCTGTGATGATTTCACACTTGGAGGGATTGAGGAGAGTCCCAAGTCTTCTCTTGTGTTTTCACCAGTTGTAGGTTCCCACCAGGGACTCTTCAGACCTGCCAGAGTGCCGTCATCCAGGTACCAGATATTGAGCTCACTGCGAAGGCTGGAAGTATATATATATATATATATATTATATATATATATATATATAATATATATATATATATATGATATATATATATATATATATATATATATATATAATATATATATATATGCCGAATATGTAAAACTGGTCAATTAGCAAGAACTTATTTAAAATTAAGTCCTTTCTAAAATTTTCTCTTATACGTTTAAAGATATATATTTTTTATTAATGTTAATGTAAAAATTTTTTATTTTACACCAAAAGAATCTTAGAAAACTTACCTAACCTTATTATAACAAGAACAATTTATTTTACCCTAACCCAACTATATATATTTTAGATTTGTTTACAATAATATAATACTAAACAAACACAGTGAAATATATATTTTTCGTTAGGTTCAGAGTGATTTTGGCTATATTATTGCATACACAAATTTTCACTTGTCCTATATGGCAAGATGAACGTTGCTATTTAAGCCAAGATCGCAAGTTCTGCCTATTCGGCACGACATATATATATATATATATATATATATATATATATATATATATATATATATATATATATATATATATATATGACTCAAGAAATCGTAATGACACGATTGCAAACAAACCATACCCCCGGCCGGGATTGAACCCACGGTCATAGAGTCTCAAAACCCCAGCCCGTCGCGTTAGCCACTAGACCAGCTAGTCACAATAAAATTCATCCAACTAGGTATATTCTACACCATAGGAAGGTTAGCACAGGCACCACTGTGACCACAAATGCAAGTTTTTACAGACGAATCTCCAGCTAGCGTGGCCGTGACGAACTCTAGCTCAAGTCCCTTCACTGCCGTCAACATGACTCAAGAAATCGTAATGACACGATTGCAAACAAACCATACCCCCGGCCGGGATTGAACCCGCGGTCATAGAGTCTCAAAACTCCAGCCCGTCGCGTTAGCCACTAGACCAGCTAGCCACAATAAGATTCATCCAACTAGGTATATTTTTACACCATAGGAAGGTTAGCACAGGCACCACTGTGACCACAAATGCAAGTTTTTACAGACGAATCTCCAGCATATGTGGTCACAGTGGTGCCTGTGCTAACCTTCCTATGGTGTAGAAATATACCTAGTTGGATGAATCTTATTGTGGCTAGCTGGTCTAGTGGCTAACTCGACGGGCTGGAGTTTTGAGACTCTATGACCGCGGGTTCAATCCCGGCCGGGGGTATGGTTTGTTTGCAATCGTGTCATTACGATTTCTTGAGTCATGTTGACGGCAGTGAAGGGACTTGAGCTAGAGTTCGTCACGGCCACGCTAGCTGGAGATTCGTCTTTAAAAACTTGCATTTGTGGTCACAGTGGTGCCTGTGCTAACCTTCCTATGGTGTAGAAATATACCTAGTTGGATGAATCTTATTGTGGCTAGCTGGTCTAGTGGCTAACGCGACGGGCTGGAGTTTTGAGACTCTATGACCGCGGGTTCAATCCCGGCCGGGGGTATGGTTTGATATATATATACATATACATATATATATATATATATATATATATATATATATATATATATATATATATATATATATATATATATATATATGTCGTGCCGAATAGGCAGAACTTGCGATCTTGGCTTAAATAACAACGCTCACCTTGCCATACAGAACAAGTGAAAATTTGTGTATGCAATAATTTCGCCAAAATCATTCTGAACCTAACGAAAAAAATATATTTCACTGTGTTTGTTTAGTATTAAATTATTGTAAACAAATAAAAAACATTTAGTTGGGTTAGGCTAAAATAAATTGCGCTTGTTATAATAAGGTTAGGTAAGTTTTCTAAGTTCCTTTTGGTGCAAGATTATAAATTTTTACATCAACATTAATGAAAAAAATATTTCTTTAAACGAATAAGAGAAAATTTTAGAAAGGACTTAATTTTAAATAAGTTCTTGCTAATTGACCAGTTTTACATATTCGGCACGACATATATATATATATATATATATATATATATATATATATATATATATATATATATATATATATATATATATATATATATATATATATTTTATTATTATCACACTGGTCGATTCCCACCAAGGCAGGGTGGCCCGAAAAAGAAAAACTTTCACCATCATTCACTCCATCACTGTCTTGCCAGAAGGGTGCTTTACACTACAGTTTTTAAACTGCAACATTAACACCCCTCCTTCAGAGTGCAGGCACTGTACTTCCCATCTCCAGGACTCAAGTCCGGCCTGCCGGTTTCCCTGAACCCCTTCATAAATGTTACTTTGCTCACACTCCAACAGCACGTCAAGTATTAAAAACCATTTGTCTCCATTCACTCTTATCAAACACGCTCACGCATGCCTGCTGGAAGTCCAAGCCCCTTGCACACAAAACCTCCTTTACCCCCTCTCTCCAACCTTTCCTAGGCCGACCCCTACCCCGCCTTCCTTCCACTACAGACTGATACACTCTTGAAGTCATTCTGTTTCGCTCCATTCTCTCTACATGTCCGAACCACCTCAACAACCCTTCCTCAGCCCTCTGGACAAGAGTTTTGGTAATCCCGCACCTCCTCCTAACTTTCAAACTACGAATTCTCTGCATTATATTCACACCACACATTGCTCTCAGACATGACATCTCCACTGCCTCCAGCCTTCTCCTCGCTGCAACATTCATCACCCATGCTTCACACCCATATAAGAGCGTTGGTAAAACTATACTCTCATACATTCCCCTCTTTGCCTCCAAGGACAAAGTTCTTTGTCTCCACAGACTCCTAAGTGCACCACTCACTCTTTTCCCCTCATCAATTCTATGATTCACCTCATCTTTCATAGACCCATCCGCTGACACGTCCACT